TGTTAACTTGTTCGGAAAACTGTAGCTACATAATCAAGACAGCTGGATTCACGAAAACAAAGTACGATGGTAACTTAATTTGCTACCTGCTTTACCGATCGATAAATTGGCATTTTGCCCACAGAATACAACTACGGGTTTCATTTGTTCTTCAGAGCAAACAGCCAGCTGCTGTTTGCCTTAACACAAAGCGCTTGATTTTTGTAACACTGCTGCTGTATGTTCTGGATGTCAGGACCATACTTTTAAATATGCAATAATTTAGACGAACGAAGCTCTTCGAAAGACAAGGGACTAATCTGTATTCAGTGCATTAAAAGCTCTACTTATACCTCGGGGATTATTTTTCGTGGTCACAAGAAAGTCGTGTGTCTGACTCACGGACTGGGGAGTGTGGTGTCCCTTTTTTCCTTCGACAGTGATGGTCAGATCATCTGCTTTTCGATCTACCAACAACTCTTCTTCGTCGCCCAGCTTTCGAACTCGCGCTCATTGAAACTGACTGTCCATCAGTCGACAGCGGATAACATGTCAATGGTCATCGCCCTGACGATGGAAGTCTCTGAAACGTCGGTAATCTTCTACCTGACTACACGGTGCTACAACCCAGAAGACAGCCATCTTCAACATCTTTATAGTCCAATTCTAAAGGGTTTTGATGACGGTAGTTTACACTTAAAATTATTTGTTGTCAGGACTTTTCCCATCGTCTGTTTTATAAAATAACAAATAATCTTTATAGTCCGCTTTATTTCTCATAACATTCCTTGGTTTGTGTAAATTATTCACAACTCGACTGCGTAAAGAAGAGAATATATTTGTTCATTTTATTTAAATCAGAGCAGATGTGGCAGGCGGTCCCAAAAGAAATGTAATCCACAGCATGGAAAGAGTAAAAAAAGAAACGTAATTTTACTGCGAGGCCCCACCCGTGTCACAAATCACAGTGGAAACATGGCAGACGTGGGACTCGGATATCATAGTTTGGATCAATGAAGAGGAAATAATTGATTAAATCACGAAACCGATTTCCCCGCCGACGAAATGCAATTTAGTAATTGAAGGGAAGATGCGTGAATGCGCCTATACTCCATGCTATATATATATATATATATATATAGGGGCCTTACGACATCCACTGCACAGGATGTAACAATAAAGAGAAAAATACGCTAGCGGAATCAAATCCTGGCTGTCGAGTCCACAGACAAAGAAGTCGGAACTTTCACGTACTCCATGCTGGAGTACGCTTTCTTTTCATTTCACATCTCATTAGCATTTTTTTTCATACTACGGATATCTCAGGATCGAATACTGACTGAGGCCGTTCCCTCAAGCACACCGCGTTGTGAGCAGTCACATGTCAAAACGCTGTGCCTAAACACAGATGGGGTCTCGAACCCACATCTGCCTATTCACAGAGAGATCGAGTCACGTGAAATCGTTACTGTGTTAGTAAAGGCCTTGTGTCAACACGGGAAGTTAATTTAAAATATCTATCCTGCGCCTGGCAGGAAGCAACCTGCACCAAACGCGTTGCGGTCGGCTGGCGGATTTTATTTTTAATTTTCTGAAATATTAATTTCGGTGGTCAGACCCGACCTGTCAACAGGGCTATTTCTCTGTATCGCTGATCGAGCGTCTGTTGTTCAGGTTCCCACGTGGGATAAAGGGTATGCTTTCCCCTCATTCCAACGTCCAATAAAGCCCCTCGGTTCACTGACTCCTTAGCTGTCTGAATATTTATATCACAGTGGTAATGTGTTCCACCTCTTTTAACACTTGCCAGTTCGGCATTTGACTCACATAATAAATCTAAGAATTGTTAAAACAGTAATTTTCGCCCATAAGCAAAGTCTACCGAATAATTTTGTAATGAATAAGCAGAGAGTTTCGTGTGAGACCGACAAAAAATCGAACAGAATTGCGAATAAAAAGTGCAGGTAATTCAACGTTCATGTACGCCGAAAAACCCCGCATTCGCGAAATTAACAACTTCTTCGATGATCTTCTGAGTTTTAACTCCGCGTGGACTCGTCGGTAGACGTCATCGGAGGAACAGAATGCTTCAGGGCTGAAATCCACACGGCATTACTGCAGGACCTAACACTTCAAACCTCAACAATATTTATCGACCACCCTCAGTTCTCAAATCAAATATCTGGAGCGCAGCCCTGAACCCGCTTTATAAGAATAAATTCACCATCCACAGAGCACGAGTTACGGTCAACTTGTTCTCTACTTTAGTTTCTTTAGGAACTTACAACATTCAAAAAAATCTTCAAAAAAACTTTAAAAAAATTTACAAAGCGGCCCTTCAGAGGCCAACAGTGCAACGAGACAGACGTAGCCAATCACAAAAACTTTGAACCGGTTCTCAGATATGAAATGTGACCATTGGTACGAGAGCCACGAGCCAAGGGTCGTTCTTAAACTAACCATAAAGCAACAGAAACTGTTACTAAAAATGGTGATCGTATCATTAAAATACTACATTCCCGTTGACCAATGTCATATTATTCACCGCCGATAAAACACATAATGATCTCTGTATGCATTAATCGATTGCCAAGGACAGATAAATATCCACGCGTTAGACAGACGTATGGCCAACCACATTCGGCCCCAAAGCGGGTCACATCACCTCCCTGGCAAATCGTTAACGAAATGACGAGATTTCCTGAAATTTGATAAACTTCATGTTACATTTCACCTGAATCTGTACGATAGTTTGTATACACACCACCTCTACGTCAGCGCGTGTGCAAAACTTCTGGAAGGAGGAGTAAGTTTCTATGACAAATATTTTCTATTTACACTGTCTAGGGCCCAACCGACTAACTGCAAACAACCACGAAACACTTCGGTGTCCGGGCAGAGATTCGAACCTCGGATCTTCTCGAATACGAAGAAGCGAGCAGCAGATGCCTTTGCGCGGTACTGACGGCTGCAGCAGCGGTGTCATCTGCCGGCCTCGAGCCACCTGCCCGAGTGCTTGTTCACGAGGAAAGGACGTCTACAGTTTATCGCGTAGGCTAGACGGGCTACATTACAATCAACTCTCTGGCACGAGGACCCGAACCCCGCCACTACACACGATCCTAAACCAGTTCCGTTTACCAACTACCAGCATAATAACCGAAAACGCTGATAAATATCTACCAGACTACACGGCACAGCATCTCAGTACACAGCCATCTTGGTACTCGTCGCCGTCAGAACCTGAAATCTCACGATTTCGAACCGGTTCCTCCGCCAAATTTTCTTACCTATTCTAGTCACATGTCCAACCCATCAAAGCCCCTACATCTCGCTTACAGCATTAGGTTCCTTGTTATGCAACACGCTAAACTGTTCACACTTCGTCTTCCTTGCTTCATTTTTCTTCTTCGAGGACTATTAATTGGTTTTTCGTCCTCCTTAATTAAGCCATTCTCTGTAAATTCTGAATTGTGAATGCTCCTTGCTAAAATAAGAAGAACACGCCTATAGTACGCAACCTTTACCATCATCGTCCACAAAAACCTTGCAGTAGGCTGCAGGCGATGTAGAAAAATACGCGATTCATTCACTGGTTTTTACCTACTCATCTTATTATTAACAACAGAGACGAGCGAATTGCGATCTAATATTACGCTTTGCACAATTTTAGCCAAGATATACGAATGTACATTTTAAACGCAATTGTCTTCCTTCACGACTTAATCGAATCGTTCATCGGAAACCGACTATTGACAGAACAGCATAAATTCAGAGGGCCTTGATTTTGAATCACAAATTTATCAGTAACTTTAATGTATGCTCTGTGACATACGTTAAAATATGTCTTGACCTGTTCATTTTTTTAAAAAAAAATATTAATACAAAATGACATAGGTTATCTTAATTTAAAAAAATATTTTTTTTAACTATAGGCCTACACGTCGTGTCGCCCGCCATGTCGGTATAACCGATTACAAAACATTGAAAAGTACGACTTTAGGTCGTATGATTTGAAGCTTTCACGGCGATTAAGTATGGTGAATTCTCCTCGGGCTACCAGCCGTGTCAGGTGGTTTAATAGAGAAAACACCAACGTTTCGAGAACCATCTTCGTCCTCGGGGTAATAAAGGTCATTACTTCATTACCCTGTCACGGATGGTAGCCCGAAAAGAATTCACCATACGACGTTCGGATAAACCCCAATGGCACAACGTCTGTACCAGATTTCATCCAAATTCATCAAGCGATTCTCGAGTTTAATCACGAGGACAGGCACGGATATTCAGCCCTATATGGATTCATTGGATGCACATCTTCCAAAGAACAACAGGCATTTAATGAACTCAGTCTTCTCCTAACTTCCCAGACATCAGCATCACAATGGAGGTCTCGGGTTCGAATTCTGTCCCGGTTCCGGCTGCCAGGATTTTTTAAAAATTTTCCTCAACCTAACCAAGACAGTGCGGGTAACCGGGTTCTGGGGTTCTCACGGCGCCTAGTTTCAAGATGGGGCTGTCTTCTTGGTTGTAACGTTGATCAGTCTGGTAGGCATTTACCTGAGTTTCAGATGTACTTGCTGCGTCCATCACCAGGGGGCGATGGAGGCAGGAAGAACCTATGTAACGTTGGTAGACTTCTAACTACACGTCGTTACAATCCAGAAGACAGACATCTTTAATGCGTAGATGATAGCCTACAAAGTGACGCGATAATTATAATCTGAACAGTTAAAAAGCATTGTTAAACAAACAAGAATTACTCGAGCGAACGATTTATGTTCGGGGCGAGTTGAAACACCTGATGTCACATCTCGCACTCACTTGGTCAGAACAAAGCGCCTACGGTATAAGAACAAGATGAAGCAGAAATGGTTAGCACCGCGCCACGCCAACTCCCGTCCCTCCACGTGACCAGCACGCGCCAGGCGCAAGATAAAGTAGGCAGGCAGCATCGCACACCTGCCCCTGCACCTGGCGCTACTGCGCATGCGCACAGGTGGTGTCGCGAGTGTGCTTCGTAGTTTAAAACCAAACAGATGTCTACAAATGTTAACAGTGTGCGCGAACGCTGTGGCATGATGCTGATGTGTGTGATCGTGGTGACGCTGTTGAGTGGCGTGTTTTGTGAAGACACAGAAACAGTTCGGACTCTGAAGGAGCAAGTGAGCGCATTGCTGGAAGATGTCTCTCTGCTGTCCAAGAACTCAGAACTCACTGCGCTACGGGAGGAACTCACTGCTCTCAGGTACAAGGAATTTACTGCACAATTATGAAAGGTTTCACGAGAACTTCACGGGGCAGTAGCGTTGTTGTAACTTATTCGTTCTCTTGTAGAGGTAAATAAATCTGTCCGTACCCACAGAGCAGAATGGAAATAAATATTTTATAATTACGTTCCATGATGACGGACGAAAAACAGCTACGTTTCGTTTGTGGATTCAACACTGAGATCGCAGGTTTGAGTCCTCGAGGCATGGAAATAGTGTGCATCTTTCTGTGTGATTATGCACTGATCTCCCATCCAAGAATCCCAAGCATTTGTCTGAATAAGGATTTGTAAAACCTGTAGAGCAGCAGTGAAATTTAACATTCATGTAGTCCTACTGGGTTCAATTGGAAGCAAATCAGCGGGGTCCAGGCAGAAGCAGGATGTTAACGAGACCTTATTTTGTTCACAAAATGAACACGTAATGTCGGTCCATACCTTTTACTTCAAAATGTACTTAACAGATTTCCATTAAATTTGGTAGACTTGTGGGAAAGACCTAAATTAAAAAACTGTCCGACAAAAATTCAGATTGGTCTGTACCAACCCTAGTTACAAAAGATTCGAATCAAAATGCATTACGTCTATTATGAGGATGGAGGCGACCGGTCCATTTACTGCAACAAGCACAAAGCTCATCGCACTGCCGGAGACACCAATAACTTTTCCTTGTGATTCCTTAAAACGTTGACCACACAGAAACGTATTTCAAATTAAAGTTTCAGATCTTCATAAGCCATTTCTTAGAAAAGTGAAAAAAATCGACTTTTTATACCTTAAAGTGAAGGCACGCAATAACATTTATGGCGGATCTACCCAATACCAAATTTCGTCAAAATCGGTGAAACTTTTTTTTTAAAATTACATCACCTTCAGATAAAGAAGGGTTGGCAGGCCGTATGCTGCTCGCGAGAATTCAGTATTTATTTTGCATTCTACCTTCAAGTTCAGGACATACAAAAAAGATAGAAATTATAAATTAAGAGGGGCGGGTCCAATTATGGGGCAGTTATTTGGCTTAATTTTTCACGATTTCGCACAAGTAGAAAGTGGATTTCGCTCCGTTATCCAACAGAGAAGGACACGCCCTTAATAAGTCAATAAATGCTTTCTTCGCTGTCAGATAAAATAAGACGTTTCTCGAAGTCGGTTTGTTACACCTAAACATGTGCAAATCTTATTACGCAACCGGAAGTTCAGTGATAAAGCTTATGAGCACTACCGAAGAATAAACTGCTCTGTTGCCATAATCAGACTAGAACTTAGTGACGTTCTTTAACTCAAACCCGTTCTGCAAATTACGACGTCATGCACAGGATTAGATACAACGATTCACAAATTTTGAATCCCCGACAGTACTTAGTGTTTGACACGGACTCTTAATTCTCGTCTAGTTATTGAGAAATGCGAAATTCTTGTCGGGAGAGTCACGATCAAATCGAACGGGCGGATTTGTTCGGACGAGAAGGCCGGTGGGCGTCTGAATGTGTGGATGCGTGAATAAACTAGCAGCCTAATGAAACGTGTGTGAGCCATGGGTTGGGTAGATGATTTATATTTTAAATTCCCAGGCAAGAGGTGGAAGAACTCCGTCGAGGAAATCGCGCGGCAACATCCTCGACAGGCAACCAGCAAAAGAACGATCATTTAACAGTGCAGTGGCTGGCGACGGCCGTAAGCGAGTTGCGAGGTGAGGTGACAGAGGTGGCCGCTGCGCACAACACGTCGGTAGAACTTCAGCGTAGGGAAGAGATCAATTCAGAACTGGTGCTTCTACGCGGAGATATGTCCAGCGTGCGCAGAGACCTGGAGGAACTGCACGTTGCACAGGAGAAAGGCGCAGTGGCACTCGCTCAAGCGCAACAGGACGTTATGGCCGTCAGGTCGCAGACGCAGAATGTGGCCGGACTTTGTGCCGACACTCTAACTCAGGTGAGTTGATGATGGAATTTTTGGTTCATCTTGTGGCCTTGAAACCATCTTCACGATACAATACCGGTACTGACATTGTAATTAGGTTCAATTAACGGCAAATGGAATAGTCAATTTCCTCGAATAAATTATTTCATCCTTTAAAGTAAATGGTAAATCTGTATTTTCCATAGCGATGCATTGTCAGGGCTTCCGTTCTTTTAACTAAGGTTTCAGTGGAATTCCTCAGTCCCACCAAAAGGTTGGTACAGCATCTTAAATTAGACCACGGCGGTCAAAGCACAAACCATTTTCCCTTTTAGGCTTCCTAATAAATTGGTAGTGGAACCGCCACTGTACAGTTCCATAAGTTTAATTTGAACTTACATCTCCTTCACGGTCTTCCTAGTGGTGGTTTTCCAAAAGGTTCCCTACTGCTGCGCGCTCACTTCCTTCACTGACTGTATGGATACTGAACTGTGGGTGGGGTCTCTAATCAGCCAATTAGGGCCAATGAGTAGGGCGGACGAAGCGTGAGGCTGATCACTCAATCACACCTAGAAGTAATAGCAGCGGCAAAGGCAGGATGAATTGGGAAGGAGACTGTCGCGGGGGGGAGGCGGAGAACCTCAGTTCAGTGGTCGACGAGTGTGGCGTCTGTCCGTGTCGGCGCTGTTTTTATGAAAACGTGCATATAAAATACAGATGTCATTTCATGACTGTTGTAAGTCGAGGCCTACGATCTCATTAAATGAAACGAAACACGAATCGCGCGACGGCCGCTGCCTGGGGCGGCCGGTCCTCTTGTTTGTGTTTCCTTCAGGTCTCAAGCGGCAGCTGGCGCATAAGCCATGGAATTCTTTTTCTCCAGCCTGCTTCGCCTCGATGTTGCCAGATTTTGGAAGCCAATCCAATCAATTCTATGTTTCTTAATATACATTTGCCCCTATGCCTCAGTACCACTCAATACACGCCGCACACAAAGTGCGTGGAGGTGTAACTCCATGCACTCTACACCTTGGCACTAGACGGACGTGAGTGGTCGGACACGAGAGTCTTCAGAGGCCAGCGTGTGAGTGGCCTGGGAGAACGTAACGCATATCGCATTTTGGTTAGGAAATCTCATGGAAAGAGACTATTAGACACTTGTGAGATGGGAAGATACTATTAAAATAGATGTCAAATTAATAAATTGTTAAGGTAATGTTATAACAGCCGTGAAGGCGGGCTGTTTATTTGGCAACAGTGCCAGGCCGGACAGGCTCTAAAGCAGGGTCGCCCCAGGAGCCCTCGTGCCCTACGTCGCGTTCACTTCACACAAAGAGGGCCGACTCGAAGTACAGCGTGCAATATACTACACTAAACTGGAAATCAATTAAGAATCCTTTTCAGAACGTAGCATTCCCAGACACTTGCCCACATTCCGCCATATTCGTGTTTGGAAGTGCACAGAAAAGGTGAGAGTGTTACAGGCCATGATCAGTTTCTCGCTCTAGCGGGCTACAAGTATGCCAGGTGTCCTCAGCGAACAAAGTGTTGTCAGTTTATGTTATTCTTCTTCACAATATTATTAAAATCGGCCATCATTGTCGGTCTGAAATTCAGAAATCGAAAACGCAGTCTGGGCAGTGACGGCGCTAGACAGAGCAGCAGCCGAATTCTTTTCACACAATGACTTTATTTTAGTGGCCCAGCGGAGGGACGTTCGACGAACAACATAGAAGATGCAGCTCACTTTAAAGAGAAGCATACAAGTGAGGCGAGAGTGTAAAGCTCTATTCTAATTAAATCTCTCAGTGATATTCAAGAAATATCTCGCCTATAAGCAGTGGTTCTACTGGTGTAGGCCCAGGCCCATAGCAACTAAAATGACGTTTGATAAGATCGGTTAAAAACGTAAAGAACACGATCAGAAGGACCTGCGAGCCCGTGGAACATTTGGGACAGGGGGCTTCTGCTTTATGGCGTAGATTCTTTGTCTTCATATTCAACTACTTTTAAGAAACCCAAAGTTACTCCACCATTTTCACAAACATCCACCTTGGACCATATCATTAGCCAGCTGAGCCCAATCTACACCTTCACATCATATTTCCGTAGGCTCCGTTATAATATTTTCCTCCCATCTACATCCAGGTCTCAGCAGTAGTCCCTCGAGATTCTCCAACTATAATTTTGTATTCATTTGCAATCTCCACATGCTTGCTGCATATCCCGCCCATCTCGTCCTAGGCATAGCGCATCGTGGATTCTAAAGGTTTGAGCAGGCCACAAAACCCCCGATTCCTACACCCCTCACCAAAACACCGCGTATCCGTTAATCGTCTTCGCACTTCCTTGTGACAAACAAACAGCACCAAAAGCTGAAGTATTGTTTCCCCAGTGGCACAGACAGTCACCACCGCCAGCATCCAGGCACGTGGCAGCCTGAACCTGATGGAGTACCAGCAGACCTCTTCACTTACATGTTCTCATCTCCAGTTTCAGAATGCCCAGACGGAATGGTCGATCGCATTAAAAGCCCTCAAGAAGTACGGAAGGGAAGACCCAGCCTATGAGGTACGTCACTGAACAAACCAATGAAAATAAATACCGAAATCTTGGGATTCGGTTATCACGGTGGTAAAGCTGTTTGTTGTGGTCTCCTAAATTATGACGCCGTGTGGAATTGTAGTATGAACACACTGTCTCCATCTTCGGGGCTAGAGTTGATACCCGCCTACAGGTCCGCACGGCGTCCATAATCTAGTAGCCCAAAACTTTGAAAGCAGATGTTTCATGCAACGACATTCTTGATAATGTTTTACTGGAGCGCAATACAGAACAAAATAACAATTTAGTGGGTCAGTGTCCTTAATGAGGAGCTGAGGGTCGCCGAATATGCCAGGAAACGTCCCCCGTATTTTGTGGAACCCTACGGTTCCATGCGATTCACACTATTAATTAAACCTTATCCTGAACGTGATGAGTCCAATATACACCCTCCCTCTTTAACCCGTTTTAATATCATCCGAAGGCAATCAAATAGAAGAAAATAATGTTAATACAAAACGGACGTTGCCAACGGTACACAGCAATAAACACGATTAACTGGGGCACAGTTAGGTCACTGGGAGATACCTTAATATTTCAAAATGAATTTCCTAAGTTTATATACATGAACTTTTCTTCTAACTCTACGGAGCACAGTAATTCTAGAAAAGCTGATAGTAGCTCCGTTCGTCAAGAAATTCCCAGGCTTTTGTGGAACCTCAAAGTTAATCAGATCCCGCCACGATCCCTAGGCTCAGCCAAGGCTCTGTGTAACAACCCCCAAGCTTTAGGACCGCCCCTTGTCGGATGTCAGCGGCTGCTTATTTAATTGCTCTGAGCTACTCTCCAAACAGGAGGCTTTCTCCTGCACTCGCGACGTGACATTCTTGTAGAATTTCGCGCAGAGAAAGATTTAGATTTGCCGCCCGCTGTGCAAGCAAAGTCTTGTATTTCTTAGCACCGTAAAACACAGCCCGGAGATTCCTTTACTAAATGTCTGGCTCTGCTGAGCTGACGACTCTCAGAACGCGTAGTTCAGCTGCGTGAATGCCAAAGAAGTTTTTACTTATTTTGTAGGGGGGTCGGAAGCGCCGTCATCAAAGAGGCCTCTGCGCGCAGCTGGCTGAGACGTTTTGTGGCGACCAAGCACATCTAGGCCACCGGGTCCATCGACTGGAGAAACAGATGAAGCAGGAGGTGGTCGCCCGCGTCTCTGCCTTGGAGCTGGCCTCTAGAAGTGCGGCCAAAACAGTGTTTAACATGACCCGAAAGTTGGCCGGCCTGGACAAGCTGCACCACTCGATGCTCCAGATGCTGGAGTCTGTGGAGACGCTGGAGAACGAGCTGGACCGCAGCGTGCCCGATCTCCAGCGCGAGATCTCCAAGATGGAGTTCAACATGGCGCAGCTGACATCGTCTATTGCACTCGTCAGAGAAGAGCAGGTAGGCAGAACTGTTGATCTGATCCGTTTATCAGTTTACATAACGACGCTTTCTCGCCTAAATGCCGCACAGCGTCAGATTTGAGGGCGTGGTCATGACCCATCATAATGTAAATGACGATGATGCAGAGTTGCGATGACAAGACACGGTCTTGGTTTTCAGGGGAAGCAGCGCTCCTCGCTTAAGGCGCTTGGTGCAGGAGTGTCGCATCGGAGCAGCCCCGACCCGCCAAAGGTCAGTATTCCGACAGCCACTACAACTGTGGAACATCTAAACTCTGATGGCTATTTCCTTCTTTGCATTATTCGTAAAATTTTTGGCAGCCTCATATGCGAACCCACCCTATCTGGGGAATCGGTTACCGAAACGTCTCTGTCCTTACACAAAAAGGCAAGACCAGGATTCGACCTTGCGACAAATACAAACGTTACATTTGAGAACTGTTACAAAATATGAACCAATTCGACCCTCTAATTTTCTAGTGCTACCTTGAACTGTGGTTAACGCATTTGAATGGCGTGTGAACTAAGGTCTCGTTCTCTTACAGACCGTATTTCCAGAGGCCAATGACAATTTCAACATTAGCACCATCTGGAAACTGGTACAAGAGTTGTCTGTGATGCAGACTCAGTACCAGCAGATCGTGACGTCTCTGCCGCAAGGTGAGTGTTTAACGTGGACCTGAATATGCATTACCTGTCTAACCTTGCCGATGTACACAGGGTTCTAATAATATCGCAAATTCTGCTTTTTAATTTCCCGTCATCAGTAGTACTAACATGGTGGTCATGCGAACAGAATGACGTGTACACATAGCAGAGCAGTTGCGAAGCCAGCCAGTCGCATTGAACAGTCACAAGCGTTTTTCTTCTTTCTTGCAACAATTTTGTTAAATATACGTCATATCACAAAACGTTTAAAATAAAAGTTCTATAAATTAACAAGACTGGAGCGGTGCAATCCGTACCGCACTAAGAAACATTTTACTGTTTAATTTGTTTGTCAGAATCTGACCGTTAAGAGGACATCTTAGTTTTAAATAGAGGGCGTTTAATTTGGGGAAGTTTTTGTAAAAGAATGATGAGGTTCTCATGGCGGTGAGTCCGAAGATTGCCGTCTTCTGGGTTGTTGCGCCGGTTAGTCTGGTAGAAGTTTACCGACGTTTCAGAGGTCCTTGCTGCCTTCATCATCGAGACGCCCTGATGAAGTCAGCAAGGACCTCTGAATCGGTGGTAGGCTTCTACCAGACTACACGGCGTTACAACCCAGAAGACTGCAAACTTCGTTTTTTTGTAAAAGTCTTACTGACACAAGAAAACATCGAAGCCTACCAAATGCTGTAATTCAAAAATACACGTAACAACTCGCGTTTAAATGCAGTACAAATGGAAAACATTGCCTTACAGAATGTAATCAAACAAGGTTTCCTAACTTTGAGAGGTTCAATTACATGGCCATGTAAAGAAAGTAACGCTGTCCCGCTATACGCCATGTAGGCGCTTGGGGGAGAGATGGTATAGCTCCTACTCATTCTTAATTTCGGCACTAGATGGGGGTGAGTGGTCAGCATCACGCCCCGGCCGCGCTTTACCCCTGGGAAAGGACCCCGTTACCCACTGGACAAGAGGCTGGGTGGGCCCCAGAGACGGTCTGGACGCAGAGGGTAGACGAAAATCATCTGCCCCTGTCGGGGATCGAATCCCGGCCGTTTCATCCCAGAGAAAAGAACCCATTGGATAGGAAGCTGGGTGGGTCCTACAGCCGATCTGGACGCGGAGGCACGGACTAGATTGTAGCATGTAATAGGCTGATTAAAACCAGTTGGAAGGCTCCTTATGAATCAGTCAGTCGTAATTAGATACACAGGCTACCACCTTCCTCAATAATCTTATACTGAAATTAATTCAGCAAATATATTAAAGCACAATGCAAACGTTTCATCTTGTTACGGCTAAATCGATGGTCAAATGATCAGTTTGTCAGTTACGAGACACGCTGTCATAAAACTACTCGACTGATTTCGATGAAATTTTGTATCGGTTACCCATCTAAAAAGCTGTTGGGAAAACTTGACATGAAGTTCATCGTGGGGTGTGCATAACCGCAAAGAACGCCTCCTCCTATCCTGTACACCGTGCGCTGAGCCAGTTCAATCTTTCTCCAGATTGCGGGGCAGTGCGTGGACCCAGCGGCCTGTACCTCATGTCGCCGGGCAGTCTGGGAACCCCTCTCCTCCTGTCATGTGACCAAACAACAGCTCCAGGGGGCTGGGTCGTGGTGCAAAGAAGGGTGGACGGCTCTGAGGACTTCGACCGCAAGTGGAGCGAATACGCCACAGGATTTGGATCACCATCTGGTGAGTCCCCGCTCGCCATCTGACGCCGCGCCGCAGTTGTTTCCCTAATTCCGCTACTATAATAAACCGGCAGTTGTACAGTTAGCAAGCAATCCCCGGAAGTCCATTACCATCACCACAAAAGCATACCAGTTGAAATCCCCACAACGCATGTATAGGACATTAACGTAAACGAGGACCTTTTTCTGTCACAAAAATAAAACTATTTTACCTACGGTACCCATATCGGTTCTTGTACAGGCGAGTTCTGGCTCGGGAACGAGGCGCTGCACCACCTCACGGCTGACAACTGCTCGTCGCTCCGGGTGGACCTCAGGGACATATACGGCAAGAACTGGGTAGCCGAGTACGACGAGTTCAGCGTCTCGGGCGCCACGGACGGCTACAGGCTGCACGTGGCCGGTTACCGGGGCAACGCGAGCGACGCGCTCGAGTACCAGAACCGGATGCAGTTCAGCGCCGTGGACTCGGACCGAGACATCAGCAACACGAACTGCGCGGCAAACTACGAGGGCGGCTGGTGGTTCTCGCACTGTCAGCACGCGAACCTCAACGGGCGCTACAACCTGGGGCTCACGTGGTTCGACGCCTCTAAGAACGAGTGGATCGCGGTAGCCTGGTCGGAGATGCGCGTCCGACGGACGTCACGTTGCGACAAATTGTCCTGAACTACCTTGGGTCTGATCCAAAGAATACACTGCCAAGAGACGCCAAACGGGCTGTGAACGTAGCGGAAAGAGACTGCCATACGAGTCTTGACTGAGGAGCTATTTATTTAGTCACTGTGTGTACATAGGACCTGTTTGTATCATACTATAGATGTAATATATGTGCAATGTACCTGGATCAATCTGCTCCCAACAGAGGGTCCCCGGACGGAGACCGAATACCCTCACATTTTTCGTGCTTTCCCTCAGTCCCTCCTGCGCATGCTACAGAAAGTCGAGCCGGGCGAAGCTGCACACTGCACAAAATGGCAACGTCCCACTCCTTAGGAACCCGTTTTGACTGCGCATCGTGAGAAGTGTCTCGTGATTTTCTTCAAATTCTGCGACAGGCCACAACCGCTTCCTTCCGCGTTGTTGCTAATCCATCATTCACTCAGTTTCCTGCCTGAATGACAGTGCAGAAACATAGAATTTTTACTATTAATATAATACCGAACCATTGCATCGCCAGTTCTGTACGGCTGGTAAATGGGGCATCTTACTTTGGAGAAAGAACATATATTACAAGCCTCTGTAAACAATGTTCCGAGGAACGGATGGGAGGATAACATTAAGATAGATTGCAGGGCGATACATAATACAGAACTGGCTCAGGATCGTGTCCCATGGTAGCACGTGTTCTGCACACAACTACTAGCAAAAAAACAGGAGTTTAGTCAACACAAAATACGTGACATGGAACTAACCATATACTATCCGATGTTAATAGTTAATCCAGGGTTGTAGAATAATCAGAAACGTTTATCTTCACCTTCCACATAAGAGAACTCCTGATCGGTCGCCATCATGACTAGGTATTATGACCAGGGCAGAATGACAAGAAATTTTCGTTACATCAATCGCTCCGTAAAGAATGCCTAACAATAATTGGGATGTCATCTCGGCGTCACCATGCCTGCCAGCTGTTTGGGGATTAAATGCGTTGTAAATCAAGTCTTTTTCGGTGCATGGAGTTTGAACAACGCTTTCAATGACCCACGATTAAAACGTTGTCAGTAATCTTTACTCACTTATTGTTATGTGTCATTAAAACAAAATTCTGATAGGTTAAATTTCATAAATGTACCATCTTTACTCGAGAGTCTTGCAAAACTGACAGAATAGTTCCGAAGTACAGCAAGCACGCAACTGTCCGTTCGTTTACAAGCAAATATTCGCCATCCACATTTTAGATGTCTGAAGGATACACGAAAAAAAGTCACTCAACGATGCTTCTTGTTTGACTGCACCTGCCAGCCACCCGTATGTGTGGCAGCAACACAAGGACATTCGGAAATGCTGGTTTGTCCTCCAGGAGTCGCCGTAGCTTGAAAGGAACGAGGAACACGGATAATTAAAGATGCTTAAACGAAGGATGCAAGAAATAACATAACGAGGGCTGCCAGACATACGTCACACTGTGTTGTTACGGCAGTGAAATGTAGGAACTTATCACGTGAAAAGTGTCTTAGAGTACCACTGGTCCACAAAAGTAAGGCAGACTTTTTCGTTATCCAAAGTGTTAGCAGGGCTAACACGGTTAACATGAACACTTCGCCCATGAAGAATTTCGATGGGGAAACCTCTTGGATGACCGATAAGATAACATTAAGATGATTTGTGTCCAGTGACGACGGGGTGTGCCGCAATGGACCGCGCCTCCAAGGGGCTAAGTCGCAGCGTCTTGCACCTGTCCGGTTCATCGAACCGCTCCGGAACACCTGCCGCTACTGACCAATCACGGTCAATGTCGAAACTTGCACAATAACAGATCGTAATTATACTGTCATGCCATTAAGAACTGTGACCAGTGGCGGTGCAGAGCGCTACCATTAACTGAAGTGGTACAAAGAGGTGGGTAAGTACCGGGTCTCCGACCGGTGAGAAAAACGCCACTGACTACCCATTCTTGTACGATGAGCCGCTACGTACGGAAAACTTTTATGTTTGCCTAACACTGAGGAAATTAAACAGGTTTACGTTACGCACGACACCGGGATATTAAAATGCAAGATGACAATTTTAACTACTGTTTTGTATGAGAATAAAACTTGACCTCTTAGTTTTATAAAAGAAATTTGAGCAGCGTGCTGAGGGGAATGTTCGTACCTACAAAAGGGCAGTAACAATACATGGAGAAAATTTCATAATTTACATTCTTCACCCAATTACGACAATTAAACATGAGAGGATGATGGGCAGGGCATTGTAACATACAAGGGGACACTTTTGAAGTGTACTATGTTGGTTATAAAACCTAAACGAAAGTACTTTGTCCAGCTGATGTACTTGCGAGACTGAACACAAGCACGATAAGGAGCCACTACAGCTGAGAAACTCGACTAACAAAGCACACAGGCGGCTGAATTCAACACCCATCGCTACATGTCTCCAAATGGGTACTGAGGGCATGGGGTGTCCTCCCCTCCACAGTATGGTGTTTGGGCACACTTATCCAAAGTAGGTCCATGGCAGACCAGTATAATCCCTACCTTACAAGAATGTAAAGTTTAGCTTCAATTTTCTTAAAATCAGCTGGCTCACTGCACAAATAACTGGTACATGATATAAACAACTATCAGCTTCTCATGAAGGACTCTTATCCGATGCCGTTAGAATACTCAACAAATATTAGAGTTGTGTTTCACACACATTAGTTGCCAATACAGCAAAAACAAAATCAATATACGGGAAATTAATAAGAAAGGATGAACATCAAATCAGATAAGATCAGAAGGAAAAAGTGATCGAAGGAACGTTAGCAAGCTCAGAGAGCCAGCAGCGCTGATGTGAACATCTGAAATGAAGATGGTGAATAAACAACTATTGGGAAAACCAAGAACTAGAAGAGACCAAGTGAAGGAAGATTAACAAAAGAGATGAAAAGGAATGAAAGAAGAAAAGCAAATATGGGAGGACAAAGAAAAACAGATGATTCTTTATCAGACTGTGACCCACCCTGATAGAATCAATGGATATTGAAGATTGACGTCTTCTGGGCTGTTACGCCGTCAACTATCCGATCCCTATAAACCTAGCCCTTTCCGCTCGCATGGCTCATTCATCGCCCTGATGACGGAAGCAGCATGACCTCTGAAACGGCGGACATCTACCAGACTACACGGTGCAACAACCCAGAAGACAGCAATCTTCAGACTCAAGACCGTGAAAACCTCAAATCCCACATCAACAGATATTGACTGCAAAGATCTTGAAGTAATGTGCAATGTAACTGCGGCCCCTCGGCTCTGCTCCAACGTATTGAACTGCACGGAACATGCAAGTATCAGGAACACAAAGCTAAACAACGCACACTAAAAGTATAGCAGATACACAAAGAAGTTATGGGGTAAGAATATCTGCAACAGTCAAGTAAACTGCGGGACTAGGCAAAATGCGACACAGGGAATTGGTGCAGACAGTGGCGGCAGGATGAAAAATGGAAACTGGATGAATGTAAATGAGGAAGCGAGAGAGGCCACACAAAAACTGGCATACACATATAAGAACACATCTTTTATTATTGGTAAAGAAATTCTCAAATCTTGTACATGGCAATAAAAACTATAATTAACAAGGACAGGCACAGAGAACATGAATGACCAACTCTCCAGATAACACAGCAGAATATGAACCACCAGAATTCAGTACCAACAGGTTTCTGGGTCTTGTGACTTCAGTTTAAAGCATCAGAAATCTTCATGTTTGGGAAACAATTTTATGCAAACCAGATAACAAACTTTGCTAACAAACAAAGTAGGTGGAATCTAGAAGAACGTGGCCCATTGTTTTCTTTACACCACCAGTGACCAATTTGAAAATGTTATATGAGACTGTAAAGTAAAGCGTCCTGCTACATGCCTATGCAGCCACTTGGGGTGAGCGGAGGTACAGCTCCTACTCTTTCTTGACCTCGGCACTAGATGGGGATGAGTGGTTAGCATCATGCCCTGGCCGTGCTTTAACCCTGGGAAAGGATCCCGGTACCCATTGGACAGGAGGCTGGATGGGCCCCAGAGCGAGCCGGTCTGGACGCAGAGGCTAGAGGAAAAACCCTCTGCCCTCCGTCATGGATCGAACCCCGATCACCCAGTCCGTAGCTAATCACTATACTGACTGAGCTATCCCGGCTCCCTATATGAGACTGTGTAGGTATTAATTGACAACAGATGAGGCAGTTTTTTGTATGTGACACTGCAGCTCAAGTGAAGGCAGAACACATCTATCCAACCTGCGCGGGATTCTGAGAAACGGCACTTTATATGACGAAAGTCTGATTCAACCTTTATATAATAAGATGCAGGAGAATTTCCAAAGTCCACAGATCACGGTACATGGGCACCGGATGACACGAAAATCACTTTGCAACTTGTTACATGACGAAAATCTATATTTGGCTACACTGACTATACACATCAGTAAATGAAGCAGTGAAACAGGAGAGACTTGGGTGAGAAATGGCCGCTGAATTTTGCTTACAAACATCTCGTATCATGCTCGCAAGGTTCTTTTACATGCCGTAAATCTACGACATGGGACCGCCGGCTTTACTTCCCCTCCAAAGGAAGTCGTGCTACGGACTTTTATCACACTTAAAAAATCCATCGACCTCGGCCGGGATTGATCCCGCGAACCTTGGGTCCAGTGGCGAGTACGCTAACTACTAGTCCACCGAGGGCGACCTGCACTACACATGGGTGGAGTAAAAGCTCCATGTGCTAGGTGGAGGGAAGTGACGCTATTTCACCTAAATTACCCACTAGGCAGGAGACTGTATGCGTCTAGGTGGTCTGGACACAGAGACAAAGAGAAAACTCCCTAAGCACCCATACGACACAGACATTAACAGCGTATGAAAACAACAAAGCTCACAGCAGATGCATCAATGGCCCATATGTACCAACGGTGTACTGCGTTCAAAAGTTCACAGTGATCGTTAAGTTAGTTTACTGCCGCAAAAATACAATTCGTCTTTAGAAAGACAAGACTGCAAAGGTGCAGTACACACCAGAATGAAAACCATCCACTAGCGTTCTGCGCGTACCGGCATTCTGAGTGCTCCTACTAATGTTCCGAACGCCCCTGATGAAGACACTACTGCATTACAAAAAATAAATGAATACACAAATAAAAATAAAACTTGAGCACACTCCAATCCAGTTTCAGTTTCCATTGTTGGTATCAATAAAAAATTAAAAAGAGTTTTAAACATTAATTTTACTTTTTCAGCATTCCTGATTCATTAATCATGAAGTGACTTAAAAGATGATGGCACAGGGCCTTGACATCGCATTTACATAACACAAAATGATCAATATACGCAGTTTTGTTAATATCCTAAATGTTCAGATTTATCATCATCTATCTATTTTAGAGAAAATTATCAATGCGCAGAAAGGTTTATAATTTTAATCAGACAAGAACTTTCAATTTGAACTTCTTAACTTGTGTACTGTTAATGTCATCTTTAGTTAATGCGAATAGCCTAATGCAGGGTGGTACAACTTTTTTCATTGCTCGGGCCAGAATAGTTTTCCTGTTGGAACCCCTGCTGTCACTATTTTTGCATTGTCATTATATTTAATAATACTGATTCAGAAATGACAAATTACCATTTCATATGCTGAAATATAAATTGTATTTAAATGTGCATTAACTAATATAGAGTTGTATATTATTTTAAATTTGCTTCTGCAACAATTATTTTTTCAAATCCTTAAGAGTAAGTAAAATAAATGGGTTTTTACAATTTACAAATACTTTCGCGGACCTGATTACAAGTGGTCGCGAGCCATCAGTTGGACCACGCTGGCCTAATGAAATGTAATTTAGTGCTGAACTCCCACAGAAATCGGCATACAACTGAATCTTGGTCAAGTTAAAATTAGTCATTGCTTACAATTTTAAAATGTTGGGGATTATTATCAAAAGTCCTGTTCCAGTAGTTAAATAGTTATTTCTATCAAACGGGAAAAAAAATAATAATAAATACACATTTCAAGCAGCTGTAATTTTGTTATTACACATTCTGCAAAAGACTTCCCTTGAAAGAAGTTGCACTTATTAAAATCTATTGCTACGCACCATTTTGCAGGTCCCATACTAAGCAGCAATAACGTTGCTCCCACCTGACAAATCTCTTACGTCCACCATATTGTCATTACTAATTTTTGAAAATTAAAAGTACAAGGTTGGGGTGCTGCCCCATGCAGACAGACAGACACGATCAGCCCTATGCACCGGGCAAAAAAGTATAAAAATTCAGAGCCACTGTGCACTTAAAGTTTCTACCATTACTGTTCATTTTTGCACATTTTAATAAATAAACTTTTTAAATTCCTTATTTTTATCACATACATGGGTTAAACAGTGTCACATGACAGAAGGAATATCAGAAATAAATTAGAAAGCAAACAGAATGTGGCATAGTTTAAGATAACATTAAAGCATTTACCTTTAGAGATGGGGGAAACCAGAACACGGCTTATGGCAGGATAATCGGTTCTCAGACCGAGACGGCGGCGGCAAACCTCTACCCCGCGGTATCTGGTAAGTTCAAAGGTCCACTGGCATTTTTAGTAGTGTTGCTTTACCATATTAAAGTTAAGAACTACTCTTGCACAAAATTATCATAACAGGCATGATTACTTGGAAACAAATTCAATTCTGTATTTGTGCTGGCGGACAGTTGCTCTTGCACATTTGAGACTCTCCTGTCACCTTCCTGGGCTTTAGAGTATTGCATACAGAGTATGAGACCTCATCTAAGGCACAAAGTGGCGAGAGGATCTAGAATCAGACACAAAATGGTAGCAAGTCAGGTGAAATCTGTTTAAAATAGTGACACCTTACTTGATATCAACATCAGTCAGCAAGTAGCTCCCACATGTCATGAGAAATTACTACTACCAACACAACACTTGTCTGCCAGGAATATTCATATGCTAAAACCATATCACGTATTTTCTCTCAACAAACTTGCTCTATTTATGCCATCACAAAATATGATAAGAAGAAACAGTTCTCATTAGTAACTGACCACAGTGTATTATGTTACGAGCTGCCACAAAACATCACGTCAAGTAACCAGTTTGATTCCTGTAAGACTGAAGATTTTCACAGCGATGAAAATTTGCATTGTGGACTTCCGTCATCAAAACACAGAAGAACACAATCAGAATCTGTCTCTACCTCATTACCAGCTGTAGACACACCCAATTTCTACATTAAAAATACTTCTGTGCTTTCTATAAGATAATACACCCCCTCTGCCAAAGCCATGATGGCATTTTTCATACCCTATTTCATGTTAAACAATCCTGAAAGTTAATACAGTATTATAAAATAAAAAATTCATGCATTCTACATATCTGAGGGTTGAGTAATATGCTTCTTGCTTTAGCCACCTTCATCCTTGTGAAAGAGCCACCAGTACCTACTGCCCAGAATAATCCATTTTTAAGATTGTGGTCTTGGTCTAGTATAACAGTAACAAGATAAATTTACTGTTATCTTCCACAAAGCTTATTACTGTAATTCTAAAAGTCCCTCTCTTTCAGCGTCTGAAAAATCTATTATGCAGCTAAACAGTAAGATAGCTTCTCTCTATGCAATCAGCAACAGGAGTGATAGAAGGAATCTGTTCAGCAACGACACTCGGCATGTGCAGTGCCACTCGATAAGACATTACTTTTGCCCCGACTTGGATTGGCAATCATTTGAAAACAATATGCACTGCAGCATGCAAACTCTGTGCTAATGAATCGCAGATCATACCAGCAGCTTTATCCTGGACCAGTCACCAACTTTCTTGGCCAATTTTTAAGTCTGATATAATCCTACATAAATCCGGTGCCCACATAAGAGAAAAAAACAAATTTATCCAAACTCTACCACAACGTACCTGTACAAAAGTAGGAGAACCTACAATGACCATGGACCACCAGGAAAACCCCCAAGTTCCATGCCACGTAATGTATAATTTCAGTATTACTCTTGCTACACTAACCAAGAAAGATTTATATGGCTCACCATATTTCTAACAGCAGTGTCTTGGTGCGCTTCAGAACCTCCAAGCTGTAACCTGTCCATCAGCTCTGACAGTTTTCTTGCTTTACGTATTTCATTTTGCTCTATTATGGTGCATAAGTGCTCTGTCAACAGCTCTTTGCGTTCCAGCCTTTCAAACAGGAGTAGTTTGGCATCTAGAAACTCCTGTTCTGCTTTATTATACCGTTTCCTGCAGCATAAAACAGCGTTTGTTCATATATTTCGGTTATTACACCTGCAAGGACCCAGTAGGAAAGCAATACATATTTCTGAATGTTTGTGATCAAAAGTTTGAGAACATTATTCACAAAAGGACTTATGAAAATGGCGATCACAAATGATATCGATATTACCGCCTCTTTAACCGATCCATCAGAGAAGCATTTTCTTAGGCTTTATTGGCGGACAGCTGATAAAATATATAAATACTGTTTCAGGAAGAATAATGCAAAAATTCTCACACAGGTCAGCATGAAATTGGTATAGAAGCATACACAGAAATGAGTATATGGTCATCAGAGAACCAAAATCTAGAATTAAGCCATAAAATAACTATAAATAATAAATTATTCTGAAAATGTTTTAAAATTTATGCATGCGGGAATGACAATAATAAACAAATAAGATCCATGATTAAATCAAAAAAGAATAAATTCATATAATTCTTATTATTCGGTTACAAAATTGCAATTCATTTCCTTCTCAGCTGGATTGTAAGTTGTGAAACACAACAGGAACCAAATAAATGGAAAATTTAAAGTGACAAAAATACTCCATCTTTCTGAGCGCATGTTTCACAAACAATGTCAGTAAAAGGCACACAAGCACTGAGAATTTTAAAACCCGGGAACTCACCTTTATGATCTGTTTAAAACCATATTCTTTTGTTCATATTATATGATTTAATTCCCCCTTTTTGCCACTGATGATGACCTCTTGAGGTTGAAATGCGTTTGGTATTAGTGTCCTTTATAGTGCAGACAGTTTTGTTTGTACGCTTATTTTTATAAGCACTGAGAAATTTAATAAAAATGTGCATGTAATGTTACTCACTGAGCTTCCATAAATTCATGGCTGGCAACTTCAATTTGGTCTCTAAGAATAGAGACATCATTGCTCAAGAGCACATCCAGTTTCTGTAACTCATCTTGAATCTGCTGCAGTCTTCTGGATTCTGCATTTGTTTGCTTCTTTCTGTTGAAATACATGAAAGACAACCAACGTTAAATATGCAGCAGTCACATTCTTCTAAATGCACAGGATATGAAAGTTTTAGCAACTGAGTAGCTCCATGGCCTTAAACAGAATACAAAAATTTACTTATAATTACTAAGTTTTAACAAAAACCTCAAGCATTTTACAATGAAATATTTTATATTGGCCTTATCAGGGACCAAACAAACCAGACTATGCATCCGGGAAAACGATAGTTCGGGGAACGGTGGATAGAGGTTTCGCTGCAGTGACTATAAGGGGGGTGCAATTTCTTTACTTCGAGATAAACAAGACACAGAACTGTAAGATTTGAGGTTTTCACAGCAGTGAGTATGAAGATTTCTGTCTTCTGGGTTGTTGCGCTGTGTAGTCAGGTAGATGTTTACCAAACGTTTCAGAGGTCATACTGCCTCCATCATCAGGGCGATGAATCACCCTGATGACGGAGGCAGTATGACCTCTGAAACACTGGTAAACATCTACCAGACTACACAGCGCAACAACCCAGAAAACAGAAATCTTCAAGACACAGAAGTCATCTCCATGCCCTCAACAATTCTTCCAAGGTAGATGCCTGGACCCACGGAAACAATATCCTTACCTGTTAAATCTTCACGACAAGTTGCTGCTGAATTTCCAATTATTTTTAGTAGCTATTAAGTTAAGTGAATTCTTGTGCTGCAGACAATGATTTCAAACTGACCTGTCAGCTAGTGCCTTGGCCAGTAACTCCTTTCTCTGACGATTCTGCTCTTCCATGAACTTCTGCCTAGACCGAAATTCATCCAAGGAAGAGCAACTGCCAGCTTCTTCAGTACTGAGTAACTCATAATTTTTATCCTCTTTTATCTGTAAGCAGACTGTACCATGGCTGGGACTGGTTCTTGGTGATGCAGCGTAACTTTGGCCAGTGCTGCTGGAAACGCTACAGCCCGAGTCAGCGCTGCCACTGGAGTCTCTATGTACCACTGCCTGAAAATAAGTTGTGGTTTCATGTTCAAGTCTGGTATTTCACACAAGCCATAAGAATAAAATGTAAAACTTCCCTTTGGCTAACGGGAGTGGAGGTAAGGCTCCACACAATCTTCACCTTGGTACTAGATGAGGGTCAGCTTCACATCCCGATTTAACCCCAAAGAAAAGAGTCTTTGTGAGCCCGAAAGGCTGACTGTACATTAACAGAATATCCATGCCTCCGCTAAATCAAACTCTGGCTAGCTGCCAACTTTATTGACTAAACTACCCCGGGACACTGAGTATTAAATGCATTACACTAGAAATTAGTGTGCATAGGATATAAAATAAAATGTGTTGATAGGGAAAACACAAACAGCCAAAACAATTAGGTCCCTGGATTCTAGACAGAAGGTGTTGGAAAGGAAGCAAAAACATCATGGCTACAGGGGTTTGAAATAATGGAACTGAGATAATTAACAGTTGTGGAGTATGAGAACAGGGAATCTACAGAATAGAAAATAGGTCATACTCAAACATACCTGAGGTTCACATAAAAATACTTCTCTGGGAAGTTCGTCAGCACTGCTACTCGGTTCTACAGGTTTATCTGATTTCTGTAACATTCTTGATCGAGCCACATTTTTTACCCCTGAATGATGTGAGACATTTTTTTGTTGCTTTGCTACATACACCATGGGTGGACCTACAAGCAACCAAATTCAAAGTGTACATACCAAAATGATCAGGCACGACCATACTACACAACTATGTGGAATATCTGAATTATTTTCAAGGCGTCAGCAGCTATATATGATCACCGAGTTATCAAAAAATCTACTAATGTTACTTCCATACTGACATGGCTTCATACAGCAGCAGTGAATAATTAAAACCTTATGAATGGAAACGTTTAATGTTGAATTTCACTCTTATACATAATGGTTCTAATTGTTCAGTCACATTTAAAATACAAAGCTACGGAGAATTAAGCTGCATCAGATAATAGCTGACCCACAGCACTCTTACTTGCACCTTGTTAATTTAAGACTCTCTAATTGATTTTCTAAATATTTCTAATGAACTGAAACACTCCCCTTGTATGATACATTTTTACAGACACAGATGGGTGTAACAAGTATTTATAGCCATCTCATTTTTGATTAAGGATATTATAATATACAGTGCAAAATAATTAGACCAAATAAATATTATCTTAAAAAATATTTGCTTATGAATTTTCAATTAAAGTATATTCTTTTACATAGCAGCAAGTATGAAGAGAGAAATTGTATTTCAATGTTAGCTTAAATACTTCTATATCATAATAATATGTTAATGTTAGCTGGAATATTACACTGAATAACTCAATTCCTCATAACTAGCAAGGTTAGCTCTTGGCATATAGAGGTCATGTCTACAGATTCTATTTATATTATGTATTTCTGAATTTTATATTATTAAATAATCACATACAAAAGACTCTTTTTAACGTCTCACGTCATCCCAACAGTTTTCTTTTGGATGCTAAGTTGCTTCTATTGGCATACCGAGTCAAATGACCCATAATTTTAAACAATTACAAATTCAGCATAACTGAGTAACTAGCTAGCTTAGGAAACCCGAAGGTTCATCACTAAACCAATCCCTGTCCTGGGCCAGCAAAATCCAATCACCTTCAATTCCTATCTCCCATACATCCCATCTATGTCTAGGTATCCTGCCTTCAGGCTTCCCAACCAACACCCGGTGCACACCACTTGACCCATCCATACGCGCCACATGCCCCGCCCATTTCATTCTCCTTGACTTGATCACCCTGACAATATTGGGGGAGGAGTAAAAATGTTTAATCCCATTATTATGCAGTTTTCTCCTTACCCCATCGTATTCTCTCCTAGGCCCAAACATCAACACCCTATTCTCAAACACCTGCAATCTATGTTCCTCCCTGAAAGTCTGAACTTTGTCACACTTTCAAAGGATTTATTAGCCACTCTAATATGATTTTGCTCGTAGCAAATCGTTGACAAAAATATTTTTAAAAAATTCTTTAATAATATTACCTTCCACGAAGCGTTCACAATCACTGACTTTCTTTATATCTTCCTCTGTAAAGCCTTCCCACTTGGCCATTATTTCTCATTACTCAAAACACTCGGTCAATTAACACATGACGAACAATACTTCGAGATAAACAGAGATGAATATATTGCTCCAACGGGTTTGCATAGAAAAGACAAGTGTTTTCTGAGAAGAAATTATACACATTAAAAGCATGCACACGAACCACCTACCACAGATTACGAAACTAACAGACGTGCAACTTCGTGGATATCATATCCTGCTGGTGTCTCTGTCTAGCAGGGCAACAGTCACAGACAATACCAACATTACAGCGTATTCTTGCGCACGTCAATAAATCCTATAATGCAACATAGTCTCAAAATAATAGTTCCCGGTTCCATTGGGTAAAACGTCAGTGCTGACGTTTCAAAACCAGAACATGGGATGAAATCTATCATACATTGAGGAATCATAAGCTCTAACAGTGCAAAACACAAACGAATTACTAAAATGCCCTTTCAGAAAGGAAATAAGAAACTAGGAATATACATAAATAATCACTCCATTGACTACGGAGCTGTCCTGGAATGTAAAGATTTCATTTTCATAGCTAATTTAAGTTTCAGCCCCAATTGTAGTAGTAATTGATTTCACAAGGCAGTCCTTCAGAAGCTAACAGCTGTCCCAAAGAGAACAGGTTAAGAAATTCCCAATCATTTATGGAACTTAAATGTTCAATGCCCTATTCATAACATCCAGGAACATGCCCCAGTCATGAGCTACATGAATCCAATCTTTAACCTCACATTGTTCTTTTTATTCCATATTTTCTCCCCATTTACACATAGGACTTACGTGGTCACTTCCAATCTTCAGAGCTAAAATCCTGGACATAACTTACATGTCACTGGCAAAGTATAAATTCCAGTGTTCCTTAGATTTCTAACTTCTCATTTGTGTAAAATAATAATCACTATATTCCAGGTTTCCTATGGCATTATGTTTATCGCATATATTAATACAGTCTCATGCTTACCATATTCTGTACAAATTTAAATGTAACCTGTTGGTATACATGGTTCTCCCCCAAGCAAACATTCTCTTGTAAATCTAACTGCTTTTCCAATATCAAAAAAATGAAGAACATAGTACCTGAACAGAATGCAATAAGAAATTAAGGTTGCTTTTGTGAAAGAAATTTTATTTCTATAAAGACAGAGTAGTAGTGTATACACAGTAATGTGAATTATATGTATAATCTAAATGTAAGAAGTACAAACAGATTCAGACTTTTATACATTATGCACTTCGGTGAGTTGATATGAAAGTTAACAGTCGAAGTAGAAAAATAAGATGACAGACTTTAGAAGAAATTTAACATTTATGTTCAGTTTCCTATTACACAAGTATCACAATTAGTTTGAATTAATGCAGACATGGAAGAGTTCTAACAGTGTGAACAAGAAGAGGCCAGTTTTCTTAAAGATGTTCTATAAGAACAGGCTGATTGAGGTGCAGATAAGAATTCAGTGGGAATAAGAATGGATATGGGCAGAACAGGTTAAAGACTCATGCTCACTAGCTCCATGAAGTCATCATTGCTCTTCAACTTTGCTTTACAATATGCCATTAGGAAGGTTCAAGAAAACAAATAGAGACTGCTACTGAGTAAGACACATCAACTTCTGGTTTACGCTGATGAAGTTAAATTTTTTGGAATATAAATATATCATAAAGAGAAACACTGAAGTCTATGTTCATGTACCATCACCAGACTGCACCACAAAATCACTATATAAAGGTAGGTAATAAATCACATGGAAATGTGGCAAAGTTCAAACATTTGGGAGAATGCTTGGTAACATCAGTTCAGAATATTTTGTCTTTACACCTATTTAAAATCACAAAGATTACAATTTCAAAACTATAATTTCATATGTTTTGCATGTATTTGAAATGTCTCCCATATTACGAAAAGAACACAGATTGAGGGTGTTTCAGAACAGGACAATGAGGCAATATTTGGACCTAAGAGAGATGAAGTGACAGGAAACTGGAAAACTCGAAGTGAATAGACCACTAAGAAAATGATTTACCTGGGATGACAATATTAAAATAGATCTTACGGAATTTGAGTGGGAAGGTGTGAACTGGATTCATGCGGCTCAGCACACGGACCAGTAGTAGGCTCTTGTCAACAAGGTAGTACGAGTATAAAGCTCTAGATTCAATGAAAGGCAGAGAATTTAATTACAAGCTGAGACTACTAGTGTCTCAAGAAGGACTATGCTCCATGGATTTAGTTCAGTTCATTAACTCCAAGAGGAGTCCTTCTTGAGAAGCTGAGTCTCTCAAGGAAGTCCCAGCCTTCCATGAAACTCATAGAAAGGTTCATTAAAATGTTCACAAAAGGCTGTTACTGGTCCTTGTCTCAAGCCAGACCAATCCAGTCCACCACCTCACACACTATTCTTTAAGATCCACTCTAGCGTTATCATCCTACATCTGCCCAGTCTATCATGTGGTTTCTTCCCTTCAGACTGACTAAATGTCCTAAAGCATTTCTCATTTCACCCGTGTATGCTACATAGCCAGTAAATCTCATCCTTCATGATTTTAATTATTCTAATATTTGATGAAAAGTGGAAATTATTATCCAGCTTTTCCCTGGGCAATTTCTTTCACTCTTATTATTGTCACTTGTCTAAATATTCTCCTAAGTTAGCCCCTTATGACTCTCAATCTACTCCTTCCTTCACAGTGACAAAGTCTGACATCATATAAAAGCAGGTAAGATTATAATTTTGTATACTTTAATCTCTTGTGTGTTCATTTAACAACAGCTTCAGCACTTACAATTATTTGCTATCTGGACATTTTCCAACATCTTTATTTAAAAGAAATCACAACGTTTCAGAAAATGGCTCTGTTTTTGTCTTCAGGTGAGAGGGAAGGTACCTACTCAGATGGGTCCATCAGAAAGAGCTAGTCTCTGTCTAACTAACTACATGGCTTACTGAACCCAAAGGTTCATCACCGAATTAACCAAAGCCCTACACTGGACCCTGTCCTGGGCCAACAAAATCCAGTCTCCTTCAACTCCTATCTCCCATAGATCCCGCCTGACATTATCCTCCCATCTACGTCAAGGTCTGCCG